ACAATCGGGAAAAACATCCTTGGGACAGCACCTCAGGATGTGTCCCACGGGAAAGACACCAGGGGTTAATGTTGGTGATGAATTCCACTCTGTTTGTCACCGTGTTCTCACCCTGGGAGACTCCTCCCTAACTGAAGCTGCAGTCAGCTTGTCAGCCTGGGAAGGGAGCTGAGAGTCACGAGAAATCCAGGCCTGAAAAAGAATTTCCAAGCTGTAATTCCCCAGCTCTCTAAATGTGTGTGTCCACAACTAGCCAGTCATTGGAGTTAGTTGTCACATGTTAAACTTTGGGACTTGTTCTGCAGTGGAAATTTCTGAGATCTTTTCTCTACTTGCAACATTGGCTTTCTTGTTTGTTTGTGAAAATCCTTTTGTTTGGTAAAAACATCTTTTGTTTGAGGTGGGTTTATCCTTTGCTCTAAGCCATAAAAGCCCCTTCCACCTCACTTTGCTCTTTGCCTTCCAGTCACCCAGTCAGACTGGCTCAACAATTATTTTCTTCTATATCAAAACCTGCTTTCATTCCTATAGAACCTTCTGTATATCTGCAAAACTTCTCTGTTAAATTCTCATCCTTCCCATAAATTCTCATGTGTTGTCTCATGTACTGGTGTAGAGCTGAAAATTAGTTTTTTTGGTTACTAACTTGGTGTGCAGTCCCTACCTCAGCATTCAGTCTCCACCCAGCTCTTCTCTACAGAGTTCTCCTCTATTTTCTGCCTTTCCCATTTAAAAAGACCACACACTCCTTGCTCCCTGTGTAGTCCCCTTCAAACTTCTCAGTTGTACTCTCTTTTTTGAAATAATTTAATGCATATTTAAATTAAAATGCAAAGATATTATTATCTTTCTATAAAGATAAACTCTATTGCATCCTACCTCTGTCCCTGATCTCACTGTGCTCCCCTTCATAAGCAGATTGCCAGAGAAATCAACTTCATTTTGAATTGCAAAAGAGAGAAAGAAAACCCTTTAAAAATCACCTTCAAAGTCTGACCTTCTCAATTGTCTCCCCCGCAGGTGTGATGGGGGAATACGAGCCCAAGATAGAAGTTCAGTTCCCGGAGACACTGGCAGCAGCCAAAGGCTCCACTGTGAAGCTGGAGTGCTTTGCCCTGGGAAAGTGAGTTCTCATCTTCGCTGGAAATTGAAGCACCTCAGGGTTCACCTGCACATGAAGTGTGGGCTTCTGGAAGTTTGTTGTGGTGTTCTCCCAGCACCTGACTTTGGTCATCACAGCTCCTGCCTTAAAATAAGAGGGCAAAGATTCTTGGAGTGTATTTTGATTTTGTTTAGAATTAAGATGTGTATGTTGGCAGCACAGGAATTTACATTTCATTTCAAATTAGCTTGAGTAGATTCAGTGTGGTTTTGCATATGACCTTTTTATTAAGTCTCTTTTGTCTGTGCAAGGAAATGGTGCTGAAGTCTGTGAGAATGTTGTCTGAATTTTCCTCTTAAACGTACTTGATGCTTTCATAATATTGTTCTTTCTTTATAGCCAAAATAAAGATTGAAGTGGATTTCTCCTCTGAGTGGTGCTTCACTCACAGCTGATACCTTTTCTCTTTCACAGATGATCTGAGAATGCATTTGTGTTTCTGTAAATGTATTTACTTACCAGTGTGGGGTTTGCTTGCAGGCAGCTTTGTCAGGTGCCCATATCAGATTGATAACTTGATCACACACTATTGCTTTGGCTCCCCAGCGAGGGCAGGGAAAGTTTGCAAATCAGAGAATAAAAGGCTGCTGGAGGATGGCAATTCCTAAAGGCTTACCTGGATTCTTCCTCCATGGAAGCCACTGGTAAATCTCACCCATCCTCTGGGGAGGCCAGTGCTGATTTACAGGAAATTTTGCAATTACTGGGCATTCACAGAGTTATTCCTGACAAATTTGGTACCACAAATGCAGCGTAGGAATCAGCAGTGAATGCAAATCAGGTGCCAGAGTGTCTGCCCATCTGTCATCTACAGTGTGGTTACTGCTTTTAACACAGCCTGCAAGTCACTGCTGAATTTAGTTTGCTTTAAGTATCTCATTATGACAATCAAGGACTTTAAGCAAAACTGTTTAAAATCTCATTATTCTCTCTTTAGCCCTGTGCCTCAGATTAACTGGAGAAGAACTGACGGGCTGCCATTTCCAAGTAAAATAAAGCTGAGGAAATCCAATGGCATGATTGAAATCCCTAATTTCCAGCAGGAGGATGCAGGGCTCTATGAATGTATTACTGAGAACTCCAGAGGCAAAAACATTGCAAGAGGACGTCTCACTTACTATGGTAGGAAACCTCTGTTCTGCCTTTCTCCCACCTTTCTTTACCCATCAAACACAAACTGCTCTGGGATGCTCTGGAATTTCCAGTTTCTGCAGTTCCATCAGGCATTTGGGCTTAAAAATCCAGGGCGTTTTAAGTGCTGCCAGAAAATGAGAATTTCTGCAGCAGTTTATTGGTAAGGTCTCTAAGAAATGGCTTAAAAGCTCACAAGGATTGCTGAGAGTAAAGTGCTTGTGCTTGTTTTTTTCTGTGACAGAAAGACTTTTTTTCAAAAATATTTCTTGGTCCATTGGTGAAACCTTCAATTTTCAGTCAATTGGATTTATTTGGGGGATCATTTAGGCCTCCCATCTATGGAAAGTACAAATTTTGTCTTGCTTTGTGAAAAGATTACTGATGGATATTCTCAATACTGTGCTTTCAAAACAGCCAATTTTATTTTAAAATGAGTAAATAAATGGGAGGATATAATCCAGTATAGGAAATGAAATAATATGAAATTTTATAGCTGGAAAAAAGGCAGTCTCTTGTGCATTTAAGGCTATAGAGTGAAATGAGCATCAGCAAAGCACACTGGTGGTGGTGTAAAGCAAGAGTGATTTGCAACAAAGTGGTAATTGACAATTTTTGTTAAAGCCAGATCTCAGCAAATATAATTTTCTTTACTTCAATGGCAATTTAAACAGTGGTTTTAACTCTGCCTTGGAATGTTTCCCTCATGGAGGAATATTTGAGCAAAGAGATGTTATTTTAGTTGGATAAAGGCACAGAGCACAACTCCTCTGCAGCTGGGAGCAAATTCTTTACTGCCTCTCCACGGGGAGCTGTGCTTGCTAGAACACACAGATTTTAGTCCATGAAGATTTTACTTGAAGGCACAATAGATTTTGTAAGGAGGAAGGAAAAGAGATTTCTGTCTTTTCCAACTTCCAAATTAATCTTTACACTGAATGCTGGAAATGTTCAAGGTCAGGTTGGACAGGGGGCTTGAAGAAACACAAATTTTCTGTGCACTGATTGTAATAATGACTTTTTTGGGAAATCCTATAATTAACATAGGGCAATAAATCCAAGCTGCTTCACCTGCCAGTGTCCTCTGCCATTCCAAACTTGGCACTGTGCATTTGGTTTTATTAAGTGGCCTTTCCTGGTGCTTGAAAGTTCTGGAGTTGTGGTGTGTGCATCATTTTGGCTCAGCATTCCTGTGGCAGTGTTCAGTGGGGGGAGTTGTGACGTACATCAGTGTAAATTACAAATAAAATAGAGGAGATTTGATCATCAGTCCTCCTAATTCCAGCAGTGGCCATTCCTGGGGTACGTGCCCTGCTGCCCAAATTCTTCTTTGCTCATTAAAAGGCCCCAGAGCTGAAATAAAGGATGTTGCTAATCAATAAAAGCAGCCCAGCTGCCCTTCTGTAACAATTGAATGAGTGTGAATATTTTCATTGCAGATCCAGACAGGGGTTTGAGCCCTCTGATGGAGTTCATTTTCCAGTAGGAATGGCTGCCCAGGTTAAGAGTCATCCCTGATATGGATGTTTATCTTCAAAAGAATAATGAGAGCTGTAATGGCAGTAATGGGACTCCAACTGTTTCATTTCATTTGTTCTGCTTCATGGAACCCATTCTGCAGAATTAAATAGATTTAAGTAATCTTTCTTATTTTGGTACTTGCTTTGTTGTTGCAGTTAGAATTCCAACAAGCCTGGATTCGGGATAAGAAGAGCATTTAACTCCTTTTGATAATTCAAGGTTTTGTAACTAAGGATAAGATTCAGAAGATATCAGAGGATATTCTGATGGATTGCCACCTCATCTGGTGCCAAAGCCCAGAAATCTGTCTGGTGAAGAAATCTAACCACATCCCACTCAGCCTTCCAATAAAAAAATCAATATTTAAGGAAGTTATTCTAAAAGCAGATGAGGATTTGGGGGAAACTAATGCAATAAACTGAAGAGTAAAAAAATAGAATAAAAAATTACCCATCTGCCAAAAAGTACCAATGATGTGAAAAATCCACACATGTGGTGTTTTTAGGGAATGGTTGCTGCTGTTAAAACACTTTACTGGTAGAAGTTTAAGGCATGTCTGCTTAGTCATAGAAAAGTATAAACATTACAAAAGTAAAAATATCTTTATTTCAATAGTGACAACATTGATTTTCCTCTTGGCAGAACAAAACATGTTTCTGCCTGACCTACAAAAAATAGTATGAGAAGGATTTCGGTTAATGTCTTGCAAGTTTTCACAGTGAAATAATGTGAAAAAGAAATCTTGAGGAGGAAAAAATATTGATAAAAGTCTTTCATGTGCCAGAAAAATAGATTTTTCTTTCTTTGCAGACTTTAAATGTTCTTTGTAAATGTAACATAAAGCTGGTCCTAAACAAAAGCTTGAAACATTCTCTGCTCCTGTTGTGATTTGGTTTATGAGTTGAAACTGGAAAGTTTAAAATCTGGAAATCAGGTTTTCCAGTCCATAAATAGAATGGTTAAAAGCCTTCTTTTTCACCCAATAATGAATTATAGCCTTGAAGCCACAAAACCCTTGGACACAGGCTCAACTTCACTGCTGTCCTTAGTTTCTCAAGAATTCCTATAAATTTGTCACATCTGTGGCTCTCATCCTGAAAAAAAATGAAATTAGTTTGTTTTATTATAGTTATGGTGTGTTTTAACATATTTAATTTAATAATTAAAGCAGATATTCTAAACCAGATATTCTGGGTTCATTACAATACTCACAGGCTTTTAATCTTCCTTTTTTCTCCTGAAGGATTTTATCCAGAAAAGCCTGACATCAAATGTTCAGTTTTTTTGTCCTTTTTACAGTTCTAACATTTGTTAAATGCCAGTTTTCTACTCAGGAGAGTTCAGATTGTGCTAAAAATAGGACAAGATTATCCAACTTTGATTGAGTGTAGAACCTGAATATATAAATAATTTGCTTTCCCTTTATTAGTGTGTTCGTTTGTCATCGCTTTTAGCTTCCCATAAAGAGATAACAGAAAAAAAAAAAAAAAAGAATCCAGGGAGATGTTTCATGGCAGAGAAAAATGAGAGGAGATGAAACAATTACGTTTTTGTGTTTTAAGATGCAATTAAACATGAAGCACGGTAAAGATATGTAAAGCAATTAATTTAAAGTATAATTGAAGAAAATATATTCTTAATTAGCCCATGCTGATATACCAGGAGTCCTGCTTGGCAGTATCAAGGTAAAATATTTGACAGGGAGAAAAAAAATTCTGCTGCTGTTCTCCTTTTGCTCTGCAGTGCTGAGCTGTGACAACAAAGACAAAATCCCCCAGGAATAGGTAGAATCTACATAACTTTTTTAGTGTAATAAAAAATACACTTTAGCATATCTAGTTAATATTTTTGTGGTTTTTTTTTTTTAATAATCTACCAGCAAAATGAAACTAAAACTGTGTTATTTGTGTATGTGGAAGAATATCTCTGTTTAAAGGTTTTATCTAATAGCTTGACTGCCTTGTGCTTGGAGAAGTCTTCAAAACATCGACAGCAAAGCTACAAATAACTAAATAATATTAATGAGTTGATGAGTTTGATCAATCTAGAGTTTAATTGCTAGTGCTGTGTAATAATATAATTTTCTTGCTGCCCAGACTAGTTTGTCTTGTTTTACCTGCTAAAGCTTTTCCCAGTGATTTGGAATTGCCTGTTGCTTGAGGGCATTCTTATTTTCAAACGGGAGTTTAAAAATGGACATTTTCAGAGATGTGTCAGCTGTTTCTCCAGGCCCCAGCTGTTTTAGCAGAACAAAAGTGGTTCCTGTTGGTCCCTTGGAGTTTTGAGAGGAAATAAAGTGTTCATCCCTGCATCAGTGTGAGTGTCAGAGCCTGGAAACCTGCAGGTGACCCTTTTGGGTTGGTTTTTCCTCCTCTTTTGCATCCCCTTGTGCTCTGGGGTGTTCTTTCTGCTCTGATTTCTTGCCCGACTGCTTAGCTCCCCAAAGGCATTCCAGAGATTCCCAGCGCAGCTTTCACAGTGGAAATGTCAAAGTGCAAGAGTAAGAACCAAAATCGTGTGTGAATCCCTGTTCTGGGAGAGGCTTTGGCTCCCAGCAGAGCACAGAACTCCCTGAAGTTCTGCCTTCCCTTTGCTCTGTTCCCCTGGCCTGTAGAATTAAAACCAGATTTTTTTTCTTGGATTCTCTCACTCTGAAGGAAATAATACATAAAAAGAGGTGTTTTGATGTACTGTGCGTGGTTAGCTCACAAATAATTTACAAATCCCAGCGCAGCCTCTGGAAAGTGTCACTGCTTCAGCCCCTGCTTCCAGGAGCATCACTGCAGTTGGTCCTCCTTCACACCCAGAACGTCACAAAGGGGTTTGTAAAATCTGGAAAAAAAAAATTTCCTTCCCTTTTGGCCTAGAGAGAAGGCCTGGAGTGTAATGAAGCAACAATTGTTTGCTGCAGGCTTAACTGGCTGGAAGAGAAGGGTCATCATCACCACCAAAAAAAGATGAGAGGCCTCTCGCTGGGATGCTTTTTATGAAGTTACACACTTGTTCTCTCCCTGCCTCTGGGACCATGAGCACTGCAAGGAATATTTTAGGCTAAAACAACTGAAGCAAAATCCAGGCTGGTGCTTTTCCAAGTGACTGGCCATGGAGCTGATGGGTAACCTGCTTCAGAAAATCACTTACCTACAAGCATTTCGTCCTGGGGGAGCTCCAGATGAATCTTTCATGAAGATTGCACAGCAAGTTCTGAAGAATTCTTAATGTCATCCCAAAATACGGAGTCCTGTCACAATCTCAAACCCTGCACTGTGAACTCCTTCAGAATTGACTTCCAGCCTCCCAGCTTACAGGACAATGTCTGTTTTGTTGGGATTTTTTTTTAATCTCAGCAAGGATGTGCTGCCTGCTTTGCCTGTTCCTTGCTCCTTCCTCTCTCCTCGGGAAGATCCAGGTTTCACAATAACTCTGCAGTAGTTCCAGGAGAAAATGAGGCTTTGTTGCCAAGTACAGATGTGTGGCAGTGATGGTGGAATCAGATATTTTGGGCAGTAAAATTTGCCAGGCAGCGACTAAACGTTGAGAGGAATAAAGGTATTTATTCAGTGTCCTCAGGCAGAGCTCAACAGAAAGGGGCAGTGCTGGGCTTGGCAGGTCCTGCTCTGCTGAAATAACAGATAAGGACACTTGTTCTTCATGTAGAATCTTTATTCACATAGCTTATATTGATGTGATAATTAGAAGATTCTGTGTTTAATTGGTCAGCAATTCATTTTAACTCAGTTCATTGGTTGGTAATGGCTGGTGTATATATTCATCAAACTTTTTCTAGGTATGTTTACATTCTTGTCTCTTGGGAAGTGGATATTTCACATATTTCTCTTCACACGTGTAAACTGTTTTTCCACAAGAATAGATCGTTATTAAATAGATTAGAATAGAATAAGTGATTCTCACTTCTTTTTTCATGGGAGCTTCCCAGGCTGGCTGTTAGCTTAGCCAAAGTACCAAGGCCTGATTTTACAAGGCTTGATTTTACAAAACCTTTCTTCTGTGAGGTTTTATCTATATGTAACACTGTTCTGTTTTGAGAGGGTGTCAGAGTATCAGAGCTCCTGATACCTGATTTTTTTTTCTGCACATGAAGCACCTTTGTCCTGGCCAGGAGTTAAGAGTATTCCCAGCTGGAATTGCTCTTGTTGAGCTGCCTTTTCAATTTTGAGCTGGTTGGTCGAATTGTTCTCTTTCAAAGACAGATTGAAAATGGTCCTTTTCTTCCTGCTCAACTCCTCCATCAGTAATTGGAAGAGAAAAAGAGCCTTCCTCCAGGAAATCACTGAAGTCTCCATCAGCACTCTCTTGTGGATGGGCAGGCAGCAGGAATTTCTCACCCTGTGCATTTCTGCTTTATTGTATTGAGTGGGAACTTGGAAAACCCTGCTATGGAGAGTGCCTGACACACAGGCCTGGAATTAGATAGACAATGATTTTTTTTATTGGTAGAATTGAACCCAAGATCTTTAGACTTGAAAACAGATTATATTTCACCTACTTTCAAGTGGAGATAGGCAGCAGATGTTAAATATTCCACATGTATGGATCCATCAGTAATTCAGGCACTCTTGAATATTGCATAAATATTTAGGTGTACAAAGTGCTCATTACATGAGCCCTGGGCTTTCATTCCCTGGGCACTTGTGGGGCAAATCCTCTCAGTGACAATGTGAGGTGAATCAATGGCAGTTTTGTAGCATGAAGTTTGAAGATTTAACCCCAGTTAATACCAGTGAAATTGTACATCCATGTGACACAAAGATCTGGTCGTCCTGTCTATTGCAGCTGACCTTGATAAAGAGGGTGCAAAAATTAAATTATCCTCAAATCAGTGAAAGGAGTTAATCCTCATGGGGATATAAGTAATATTCAGAGAGTATCACTGTCAGCAAATATTGGTTGAATTCCAGTATTTATTTGTAGTTAAAACCTCAGTTAATATGTTTTAAGAAGTTCTGTAAGAAGTTAACCCTAAATATGGATACATAAATCATAAATAGATCAATAATCATTATGATAAAAGCCTGGTGCTGCACGTGGTCATGCTGAGGTCTTTTCACTGCATTGAGGAACCTGGGATTGAGAGGAAATTTCCATGCTAGGAAAGAAGGAATCTTTAAAAATGGAATTAGTGCCAGCCCTGGCCTGGCTGGTGCTGTGGCAGTGGAAAGGTTCAGCTCTGTCTGTGCTCACGGGAAAATCATTAATTTGCCTGCCCTGAGTTAATTGCTGGTGGAACTCCATTGCAGTGGGAAATTCAATGGGAATTAATCTGACCTTGTGTGCTTCTTACACTCGTGTACTAAATAAACTTTTCCTGCATCACCGGGGACTTGTTTTCTCCTGGTTGTTTTCATAGGAGGGTGTTATGAGATTTTCCTGAATTACTGACTTCAGATAAGCAAATAGACTCTGGAAAATTCTTTGCCCATAGCTGAGAGTTTGCAGCCAAGTTTCATCCTGCTTTTTCATCTGTTTTCTCCATAGGCAACGTCCAGGATTTATCTTTTCTTGGAGAAATACATAGGCTGAGATTATAAACTTTCCAGTAAATTAAATAAATTCAAAGGAAATTCACAAATGACTATAAAACAGTGTTGAACTGATGTGTGAAATAGCACTGAAGGAATAAAAATAAATTGCTGTTGTCTTTCATGCATTGATGTTTATTTTCCAAGTGAGCTTTCTCCTTCCTGTAAAAACTGTAACAGATGTTTTAAATATCTTTACAGTTTTAACTGTATTTTGGGTAATTCTGAAGGATGTATGGTATTATTGCATCAAATTTTGGCTTTAAAATGGTGATTTTTATGGACTTTCTTCTACTGGTTTGCATTACTCAAATTCTGTGCCAAGACTTCTGCTTTCAGAAACAATCTCATATATCCATGTTTTCATCCAGTTAAGTGCTGCCTTGCATTAGAAAACAATTTAAATGGTATTTAGCACTAAGTCTGACATACCATTATTTTTTTTTTAGGACTTAAAGGATTCTTTTCAGCATTAATTTGATGATTTAGCCACATCACTTATTTAATTTCAGTCTCGCCATTAATGTCTTTCTCTTACATTTGCCTCGATTGCAAAATGATGTTGTTTAATCATTAGTGACTTTAATACTGGTTTCACAATAGTCCAGCTTTAGTGATCTGTACTCTCAATTTTCTTCTGGCTTAGTGCTCATAATAAAAATGTATAAGAGGAATAATAAGTTATTTGTTTCATCAGGGGGCTTGGAGCAGCACCAGTGGGAAGCTCTGTTGGTGCAGATCAGTCTGTGCAGAAAATGGATGAGTTGTGTGCCAGTTAACCCTTTGATGCTGATCTGGAGCAATAACTTGTGTATTTTATCTGCAGCAAAGCCTCACTGGCTGCAGACCATAAAGGATGTGGAAGTTGCTGTGGAGGACACCTTATACTGGGACTGCAGAGCAAGTGGGAAGCCCAAACCATCCTACAGGTGGCTGAAGAATGGAGAGCAGCTGGCAATAGAGGTAACATTCTCTTTGGGAAAAGTGTAAAATGATCAATATCCATGCAAATGGGAGAATCCAAAAATCCCTGGCATTAGTCAAGAGAAACCTTTGATACTGGGTTTGTATTTTTGAGAGCATCCTGATGAAGCCTCAAAAGCTGCAAAGACAAATTTTGTTCTACAGAAATATTCCAGTTAAAAGCAGATTCAAAAACAATAGAAGCACAGAAAGAAACATGTAAGGAATGACTGCAGAAGGAAGTTTAATAATGTTATAAATAAAGAACTATAAATAAGGGATGGAGAACTTGAATTATTTCACTATATTTGCAGCTGGCATTTCAATAAAGGTAATAAGAAAATATTTTCCAACTTCTTGACAAAACTCCTGAGGATTCATGGGTTTACCACTACTTGTTGCAAAGAACGGAATACAAACAGCAACATGACAGAGATATTTGCTTTAATGCAGTTGTCATAGTAAAATAATTGAAAGTAATGCATTTGGTGTCAGAGAAAAGAGGTTGAACTTAGAAGGTGAAAGGTCAGAAATGCAGAACAGGACCTGATGCCCCTTATTTATTGATTTTAAATGTCACTGCTTTGTTGGAAAACAGAATATGAACTCCAGGCACTTTGGCAGGAAGGCATTTTGCCCTTGGCCAGTGCCTTGTGCTCAGCAGTGGTTTTTGGGGAAGAAAGGAACTGCTCAGGTGAATTCACTGGATGGTTCTGATAATGAGCAGAGCACTGGGAAGCATTTCTTACATTCGTGCTGGCTAAGGGGAATGGTGGTGGTTTGTGGACAGGTTAAATGAGGGAGCACAGAATCTCTGCTGGGTGATTTAAGAGCATTGTTGCTGTGTCATGCAGCCACTGAGGTAATGGCCTTTTTTTACTTCAGGAAGGACAAAAATACCTTGGACTCGTTCAGTCTGCCCATTTCTCCAGTTTGGAGAGTTGCTGTCCAGCCTTTTGGCGAGGTGTCAGGGCAGAAGTGTGAGTTCCTCTGGGAACAGTGAGGGAACTCTTTGAGAGGCAGCCCTGAGCAGACCCCAGAGGAGCTCCCTGTGTGCAGTGATCAGGTGTCTTCTGCTCCCTGACTGCAGCCATCCCTCGTGCTGGGTCTCCTTCACAAACATCTCCTGGGGTTATCCCACTCAGCTCCCTTCTCCATGAACAAATCTTTTCTCAGAGCAGCAGCTTGGGGTGCTGCAGAGGAGATGAAGACGTGGAGACTCAGGGTTTTTTTCCTCTTTGGGGTTGTTTTCTGTGTGTCTGGATGAGCCCCCCTGCACTCAGCTGGGACAGGACCTGTCAGGGAAGGAGCTGAGCTGTCCTGGAGTCCCCTGTGCTGGGGCCAGCTCTGAGTGCTGCCCTTGGCAAGAAACAGGGAGGGAGAGATTGCTCTGGGCCTCCTTTTGGGTCCACATCCAAAAAACAGCCCCTAGAAAACCCTTTTGGGCAGGTAGTTTGGGGTTTAGCCTGTTAGTAGCCTGTGTCTCTGATTTTACCCAAAGGTTGTTCCCCAAAGCTCCTTTGGTTTTGTCTTTGTCGTGGTTCCTTTTCTCACCAGTTCTGCCACTCAGATTAGTCACTTCCTGCTGTAATTGAGCTTTCCAAGAATAAGCAAGGTGAGAAGACCCAGATCCTTGAGTAGCTGTGCTGGCTCCAAGGCACTTCAGTTTGTGTCTTTGGTTTAATGGCTGGTGGAATTTTTTCTGCAGTGTTACAGAGAGCTCATTAGCAAGTGGCACATGTGAAATCTGTAAACAGTGCAAAATGCCAGTGCCATCTGCACAGTTTGGTTACTCTGGTCTGTCTGAGGGGGCTGGTAGGATTCTGTCCATATTTCTGGAGGAATAAAAGGGCATTTGAGATTGCCAGACCTCAGTGCAGCTGGACAAGTTTGAAGAATTACTTCATGCACTGCATTGATCTCCATATCTGATCCCCATTGCTGTACCATGATGCAGTAGTGTCACTCCTTTCAGAACTGTTTTCATGATTATGCTTTTGCATTTGCCCTATTCATTGTGTTTATGCTGTCCTATTTCTATTCCTTACTTACTTTAAATTTTTCACAGGAAATATATCATCAATAAAGATATTTTTCTTAATATTCAGGGAAGGATCCAAATTGAAAATGGTGCACTTACAATATCAAATCTAAATCTGACAGATTCTGGCAGATACCAGTGCATAGCTGAAAATAAACATGGTGTCATCTCTTCGAGTGCAGAGCTCAGGGTTGTAGGTAAGATGTTCCTTTTTTCACTAAAACACAAACCTCATTATCCCTCTCCACACCCCCTCAGATTTAACTCACTCAGCTGCTGTCACTGAAATAAAACATTTTTGTCAACCTGGTGTCTTTATCTGCAGAGCTGAGGAGTTGAGTCATCTGCTGCCAGAGGATTTTCAGGCCAATCATTCATTTAAAAGGGAACAGGATAAATTATTCACGAGGGGAAGAGCAGGGATGGGGGTTTGGGTTTGGGCCAGAGGATTAAAACCTCTGGTGTGGTGTGGAGGTGGTGCTGGCTCCAGCAGCTGCTCTCACCTCTGTGTGGGGCCACCATGGGGCTAAAAACCTCAATGTGCAGCCCTTCTGGGGCAGGGACAGGGAGTGACATCCACCCATCCACCCCACCTGCCTGTGCTGGGGCTGGAATAGGGACAGCTCTTGGTTTTTGGGAGCAGGGCTTGGGACTGACACACTCACACTTGTGCATTTCTCCCTCCAGCACAGGCCAGACTGAGCCACAGCAGTGCTGTGATTTGGGAACACAGGTTATTTATTTCCTTTGTGGTGTTGGTTAGCTCATTCAGCCTTGCTCTCCTCGAACCCTGAATTTCCTCTCAAAGTTCAGTGTTACCATAAGGAGAGGCCACGAGCCTTTTCCCAACTGTTAGCTCATGAAAACTTCACCCAGAATGAGCTGCACTCCTTTCCTGTCATCTGACATTCATTGGCACATGAAACTGGGAACCTGGCAGTTCCCTGGGGTTCAGTGAGGCTCCTGGTGTGATATTGGTGAGATTGATCAGATAAATCTGCTCCCTCCAGCAGAGCATCCACCTGGGCAGGTGCTCAGCACTGCCTGGGTTCACGGAGCTGTGCTTGCCTTGCTGGGTGCTCACCTGCACGGCTGAGACCTTTGGTGGCAGGATGAGGGACAAAAAAAGGAGGAGAAAATGCCAAATTGCCCAACAGAAGATCTGTCTGAACTAATTAATGGTGTTAATTATGTTTGGAATCTGAGAAGTGCCCGTGTAAGTGCTAAATAGCAGAATCATTAATCTCATGTAAAGTGCTTTATTTCACTGCTACTACCCCTTCTGTTTTAGCTTCTGCTCCGGATTTTTCCAAGAGTCCAATGAAGAAACTGATCCAGGTTCAGATAGGCAGCACAGTTGATTTTGAGTGCAAACCCAAAGCTTTCCCTAAGGCCAAATGTTCCTGGAAGAAGGGAGGTGAGCAGCTACACGAAAATGAAAGGTACCACGTTACATTGGTTTATTTGTTTTAATCTTACAAGAAGCTCTTGTGTGTCCTTTTATGCAGTAGTGTCAGCTGTAGATCCAAACACTTGTAAAGTCTCTCTGAAGTCTGCCTGGCCTGGGGTTCTTTGCTTTTTTTTTTCTTTTTGTTGTGATGGTATGAGAGCACTGAGAATGCAAGTGTGCTGCTTTCTCTAAGGTCAGGGGGCAGATTTTGTTTTCAGTTTAATGTAGAGTTGGGCCTGATTTAGAGAGAACCAGGTAGAAAACTGGGAATGCAAAGCCTGTCAAAAGTACTAAAAGGCTTCCACAAAATGCTCTGAAAATGTTGGCAAAGGGGCAATTGAAGTTTGTTACAGCCATGGGGATGATATAGCTGAGAAGAGAAAAGGAAAGTTAATTGGGAGGTCAAGAATAGCAGATGAAAATATGAAAAGAAAAGGAAAATGCACTTCCAGGTTCTTTTCAAGCAGCCATGATCCGACCAAGGATAACAGAAGTCATCATTGTTTGTTTATTTGTTAGGGTTAGAGTGCTAGTGGATGTGTTTTGGGATTGTAATTCTCAGGGGAGACTTTGTGATTCACCCATACCCCAGCTGTTGATTTCCAACAATGTGTAAATGGTTTTTTTTCCAGCAATACCCATTAAAGCATTATTGAATTAGTCATAAACTGCCACTGCACAAGTGTGCTGGTTAAATTGTATGAGGAGACAATGCAGGGCTGTACCTCTCTGCTCTGGAGCTGCCTTTGGGTTTGCATCTCTCCCACACTGGGCATTGCTGATTTTCCAGCCTTTCTGTTCTACATTTGAGTATTTGCACAGGCTGGGAGTTACAGAGAGTGATCTGGGGCAGCAGAGAAGTTCCTTGGAGGAAAGGTGTGATTAAGATAATTACAGGTGTGCTTTAGCATGGATATGGTCAGTGTGGCACTCTGGACATTCCAGCTGCAGCACTTCAGTGCTCAGGACAGGCTGTGCACTCTCAGAGGAGCCAGAATTGGGTTTTGGGAGTTCACTCTGGCCCCAGGTCAGCCTTTCTGCCTGAGCCAGACACAGGCTGCAGTTCCAGCACCAGCCCTGGAAGGTGACAAAAGAGTCCAAAAGGCCAGAAGTGAGACTGAACAAACCAAACATGAGGGGTTTGAAGGAGGATTGCCATGGCAGTGTGGTGTCATTTGAGGAACGTGTCCCTGCTCCTCTAGGACTGGTGTTGATTTGGACAGAGCTTAGCCTGGCATCAGGAACCTGCTTCCAAATTAGACAAAATTCTTCTGGTCCTATTCCTGTAAAACACCACGTTGTGCTTTTCCTTTGCAATTTCTAAGCACAGAAGTTGCTCCCAGAGAGACAAAACCTGCAGGGACTGCAGTGGGACCTTTATTTGTTCCCCCACGAGGCTGGAGCTGTCTCCTTGTACCCAGAAGCTTTGGGCACTGTCATCTTTGCCCTGGCTCTTGGTTCACAGGGGCCACAAGAGTTTTCCTGTGTTCTGGTGTTAAGTGTTGTCAAATGTGACAATTTGGCAGAAGTTGGGGCATCTGTTGTTGCAGAGCTGGACGTGGTGGCACAGCCTCACTGGCTGCCTGCCTGCAAGCAGCCGAGCAAAATCCCTTCCAAAACAGCACTGCTTGGTTATTGAATGCTTCCAGCCTTTCATTAAACAATATTAATGTATTAAATTAAACGATGACCTCTAAAATTTATGTGAAACTTGCTGCCTTTTGATGGATCTCAATCGGTTTTATTTTTATGATTGCTTTTGTAAAGTGTGTGTGTGCAAAAAAATTCACGGCAGCCGATTTTGTCCATTTAGGAAAATTTTGTCCCAGTTCCATTTCCATAAAAAATAGAATGGTATCAGTTTCATCTGGGGTGATAGTACCAGGCTGAAGGAATCCACACTCAGTTTCCAAAAATGAATGGAATATGATGCTGCCTGCTTAGGTTTATGAACATAAATTACAGCTGTTACTTCTGCCAAGTGCAGGTAATTCCGAAATATGACCCAGAGCGTGTATTTTTGACAACATACTGTAAATGGCTTCCAGAGGAAGCACAATAACAAGGCAGTAATCCTGAATTAATCTAAATGAAATAAACTGGCCTTTGGAGAAGAGCAGAGCGTGGTTCTTCACAGAAAACCCTGGAGTTCATTACTGTCTGCTGTGAATAATTGCAATTCATGAATTTCATGCAGTTCCACAAATTCCTGCAATTCGGGAAAGAGTTTCAAATTAGCAGTCCATTTTTCAGCCATTAACTCCCATTTCCAGTGGAGAAGTCTGGTGGGGAGGGTTTGCTCTTTTTTTAATTGCAGCAAACAGGAGGAATGAGTTCCTCCCACTAGGGAGGTCCAGCATGGACAACACCTGGGAGAGGTGGGGAGGCAGAAGGAGCTGAATTTTAATTACATTTGCAGCAGTATGGGTAGAATTGATCCATCTTGAGGAAACTCCTATTTGAATAATAAGGATAAAGCACAAATACTTGAATTTCTTGTCATCAGAAAACTTGGGTTTCACTGAGGTACTGACCACAATGCTTTAGTAAAGCCTGAGAGAGTTCCATTTTGTTGCTCGTATTCTTAATTTATTTTTAAATGGTGCTGCTTTTTCCGTATGTAGAAGATTTGGATAATGACTCAGTAAATTTTAATTAAATGAGCTGAATATAGTGTGTCTTGTGGAGGGGAGAAAATATAATTCAAAATGGATTCATGAGCTCTGGGCTGAGAAATCGCTCAGCATTGAAGAAAGCAATCTTATTTCTTGTTAATTTTGCGAAGTATGTGATTTTTTTTTTTCCTAGAATATCTTTAATAAAGAGAGCTAAACATTAAAGAGCAGTGGAGTGCAGAGAGAAGTGAAAGCATAGGATAACATGCAGAAGGAAAGACAGAAAATGGGAATTAAATGTATGGGTGCCTGAGACACCTCCACCTCCAGATGGATGAATTTTTGTTGTCTTTTTATCCTCCAGAAAAGGAGGATTAGATGTTTAACCAAGGTTAAATGCTCCTGATGCTGGTTTAACTCACCAAAACCAGGATAAATACTAAAATAACTGCAACCCAGACATAACCCCTTCCAAGATTTCCTTAATGTTTTATGTATGTACATGACTTTTAATTTTCAGCGTGTACTTGACAGTCACTGCCTGTGGGCTGCAGTGGATCCTGAACTCCTGGCTCAAAAACATGACTGGAAGAGGGTTAAAAACCAGGATTTTATGAAAATGCAGAGCAGCATTTCACCTTTAAACAAACTCACCTTTATTCCTAGATGTTTCTAAATTTATCAAGACTAGAGAAAGATGAGGAGATGCTGCAAAAACTTCACTGAAAGACTTCCCAGTGCAATTCTCTTAGGAAAACTCCAGTTTTAGCAGCTTTCATTGTGGCTGAGTGATGGAAAATTAAGGGAGGAAAGAAGTGATTCCTGATAAAAAATTGCACAATACTTAGAAGTGTTAGTTAATGGTTTTAGCTTTGCTGCAATTGGAATTAAATATTTTTATTCATTTTGTATTACAGTTTGAAATGCTGTGATGTGAAAAGTAATGCATTTACTTAGCAGTACTTGCATAGGATTTTATTTTTGCTGACTTGCCTGTTAATTAATCTGCTTTAATTTAGTTGGAATTTGATTGATACATGAAAAGACAGTTGTGACCCACTTTTCCACTGCTCCTTTGCACTGAAGTGTTACAAGCTGGAAAGGAATGTGTTTGTGTTTATTACCGTATCAATAAGGATCTAAAATAGTTGTGCTTTTGTGATTCCTGAGTTTGATGATGTCTGATAGCTCAGTGATAAAGCATTGCCTTGGGAAGATGAACAGGTTTGCATTAATGACAACAAGTTTCACTGGGTCCTGGGGCACTGCTCTCTCTAAATATCAATATATAAAGAGGTGTCACTTTAAAATCAGTAGATAAAGAGGCATAATTTCTCTCCAATTGGGAACCCCAAAGTCTTGAAGTTCTTTAATCCTCCTCCCCATCCTGTTGACCTCAGTGTCAGGGTGTGGGTGTCAGTTTAAGGGAATTTTATTTGGCTGTAGGGAAAAAGAATCTCCCCAAACATCAATTTCCCCCAAAATTCGCTCAGGAATTAGTGAGAGATGATGAGTTTGTCAATGATGCTTTAATCTGATGCCCAAACAGGTCCCAAATCCATCTCCAGCTGGAATTGAGGTGGATTTAGGACCATCACTCCCTTTTGAAGGGCTAAAGCTTTTGTGCCATTTGCCAGGGAATCAGAAAGGGTGCAGGTTATGGAAAATGGAATTTCCAGGGAAAATTGTTGACCTTGAGTAAAATGGTTTGGAAAAACACCTGCAGGTGCAGGGAATGCCAAAGGCTGGGTTGTTATTTTTGTGTGTCACAGGTCTGGGTCTCTCCCTGGCAGTGTTCCAGCGCCCTGTGTGAATATTGAGTAATTTAAGTAAACTACAAGCTGTGGTTTGTCTCGTGTTTCAGCAGGAGGGGCAGAGCTATTCTTGGGTTTAGGGTTTCCATAGGCTCTGAGCTGTGTTTACTGTTTTGTAGTTGGAAAAAGTGGAGCATTGCACTTTTTCGAATTTACCGGTTAAGATTTTATTTCGATTGTAATATTTTTGTCGAATTGATTTTTTTGGTATATTTTTTGGTTTTAATTCTAAAAAAAAAAAATATTCTTAATTATATCTGGGTTTTAATAAGCTTTCTGTTTAATTATTTTAGGCAAGCTAGGCTTGCAGGTAGCTCTAAAAGTGATTCATTTTAATTAAACAATAGACATTTCCAGGTTTATTCCCTGATCCTGCTTTTTCCTTTGTTTGATCTTAGGCTTTTTCAGCACTTGGGGTTTCTTTAGTTTTGTATTTTTTCTGTTGAAAATTGCATCAAAGTAGATGAAGCCTCAGCTATAAAGTGCAACAGCACTTGCTTGTAACCATAATTGATATATTTTAACACCTTTTTTTGATGTCATTCTAATTACCTATAAAATGTATCACTCATGTCTTTAACGCATTTAAAATACCTATAAACCATATGGCACGGTTTAATTAATTTTAAATGTTCCATCTAACATGAAGTGCAGCCAAATATGACTTAGGAATTTTCCCAAACAAGTTAATGAACCTCAGGGAAGTCACTGGTGAGGCACATCCTGCCTTGAAAAAAAACACCTCAAATGCCACTTCTTCAGCTGAGCTACCTCAGGATGCTTTGTGGTTATAAATGGATTAAAGTGCCTGTTTACAGCTCTCTTTCTAACCCCAATAAGATGCTTTTGTCTGTTGTTCTAACAGGGTGACTTGTTATCTCTTGTAATTTGCATCTGCTAATTTCATTATTGCGCTGCCTTTGCCCAGAGGAAGAGTAGCTCAGCTACAGCACTGAGAGCTGAAACACCTTTTTTAAGGAAATACAAAATGCAATTTGAACTAATTAGGAAAAAAGCGTTTTAACAGTTGTGCATATTTCTCTATTGTAATTCCAGAAATCCTGTTTCGTTGTACAGAGCAGTGCAGCTGTGGCAGGAGCCCAGGTTCCTGCTTTCAGGGGTGTGAAACAACCCCCACCAGGCTTTGAGGATGAATTTGCTGCTGGGGGAGTGGGGCATTAAAATTCCAGAGCCCTGCTGGACTCCCCCTGCTGTGGGTTGCATTTAGGGAATGGGGTTTTGGGTCTGGGTAAGATCACTGAACCCCTGATGACCCTTCCATGGAGAAATTTTCCCAAAAATCCAATCTAAGCCTCCCTGGCCATTCCTGTGGTCATTGTCACTTGCCACTGGGAGAAGAGACCGAGCCACCCCTCACTACAGCCTTGGGGAAGTTCATCCCATACTGATCCCAACACAGCAGGATTTAACCCCAGAGCTCAGCTAGGAGTGACAGGGATCTACTGACATCATTTCACCTCGAGAGCCTTGAAAATAAAAAAGAGCAGCAGAGGTGTATAATTAATTAATTAATTCCTTTTGTACTGAAGAAAGCAGCAGGTTAATAACAGATGGAAGTGAGCAGGGAGGGAAGGAAGGTGGCACTGCTAAGTTTGGTGACATTTGCTGCCTTTTCAGCTGGCACTTGCCCTGAAAGCCAAACAAGACTCCAGCTGATGCAGGCAGAGCTTTGCCTGGAGAGGTTTTGTTTGCTGCTCTCTTCATTCTGCAGCTCAGCTCAGGGCATTTCCAAATCACCATCCAGCCAAGGTGCTGGGCTCCACTTTGGTGCCTCTCACATGGGATGAGAGAGAAAAGCTCTGGAGCTCTTTTGACTTGGGCATATCAGGAAAATGGGAACCTTTTGTAAATTACTGTGGACGTTTTTCTATATCTGCAGTTATTTAGCTACTGCAGGTTGTCTTAGAAGTCCCTGCAGCTGTGGATAGAACAGATGGGAGGACAAGAAATAGGGAAAGAGAGATTCAAATCAGCCTTCCCTGTGCATGCCTCCAGTGCTGCTGTCTGGGATGTCACCTCTGCTGTGGGGACACTGCTGCTCCTCTGTCCCTCTCAGTGCTGTGGGTTTTCTTCTGTCCACATCTTTTATAAGCACCCTCCTGCTTTTCCATGCTCTCACTGTGGGAGGTTGTGTGGGGTAAAAGGAATTTTCTGTCCTGCAAGTCCTTCCACAAAAGAGGTTCATGAACAATCCCATGGAGTTGTCATGGTAATCACAGTTATTTCAAAGTTGCTGTGCAAGATTGCATGAGATAAACAACAAAAGAGCTGAAAATTATTCCAGTTTCAATTGGTGCAGCAAAAAAAGGTGGAGCTGATGTTGGATTTCTCTCTTTCACACACATACGTGTGCCCATATCTCCTAAAAGATTGGTTCTACTGGTGTCCAAAGTGATATGTCCAAGGTGATATGTGGTTGTGTTCAGATTTGTTGTGTATTGTCAGTGGATGGTCACAACATTTTCAAACCCCAGGCTGGTAATGTTCCTGGTTCCAGCTGACACAGAGCTCATTTTCTTCATAATTGTTGATACAGTTTAACGTGTCAGAGATAACAGTCGAGCATGAAAGCATTTTGTCTACAAACGCTGCGACTTTTAAAATCTCGTGGTGGTTTTGTAGGATCACACTGTTAAAGGATGGAGGACTGAGGGTAGCCAACGTGACCAAGGGGGATGCTGGCAGCTACACGTGCCTGGCCACAAACCAGTTTGGAGCAGCCAGGGGCTCCACCAGCCTGGTGGTTACAGGTGGGTGAGCTGGGACACAGGGGCTGCAACAGGAGCCTGGCAGAATGTAAAGAGTGTGAGAAGTTATTTATTTAATGTATAAAGATAAAAAGGATAGCTGTCACAGCTCTTTCATTAGTTGAAAAGGCACTGAGGGATTTTTCTGTCTTTGACAGAGATATTTCTCAGATGTGAGGGAGTTCTGAACACTTCCCTCCCTCCTCTCACTTCTCTAAACACTAAATAGTGCAATTATGCTTTTAAGTTCGTGGGGGTTTTTAATTTGTTATGAAAAAAACATGTCAATCAAAAAAAAAAAAAAATCTTGGAGGTAATTTTATATTCCAGTCGAAAATCTGTTTTGCCCAAACGAGGTTTAAATGCTGTTTGCTTATGGAAAAAGATACAGTGGAAACTCCAGCTGCAGGGGAGCGTTCAGAGACTCCACGGGCAGGAGAACACTCTTTCAAAAGCAAATTTCATACAGAATTGTTATTCAGAGGGATCCTTCCTCCAAGTCATCCATTCCTGGCTGCTGGTTGAGATACTGGATGAAAAGAGCCATGAGTTTGTGAAGTTTATCTGAAAAATGTCTTCTCTCATAATGTTCTTTTTCAAAGATGTTAATACCTGAAAGATTTCCCAAACTCAGAATGATCTACTATCCCACTGCATTACACAATCTCTGTATCTCATAGGTCCAAACAGAATTATTTTGTTCAGTGAATTAACAGCTTAATGTTTTCAGCCTGTGCTCCTAAATGATTCATGTCCCTTTATATACAAATAATAGAATTATATGCAGAGAATCCCTAGAATTAAATTTTATTTTTACAGTATTTACAATACCTGAAATTTTTCTCCGTTAATGTGATTCTGGAATAACAAACAGCTGTTCTTAATGACACTGTTTATGTTCTGTGTGATGTATGGACCCAAATATCCACTGTGTTCTTCCCTAAGTGGATTTCCTCCAGTTTCTGGGGTTTATTAGGTTCTTTCCTTACTCCCAGCTCTCCATCTGCCCAGGGGCTGCTGCTGCTCCAGAGCACAGTGGGCTTGCTGAGAGCCAGAGCTGTGGAATGGCAATTCCTGCCTCAGCTTGGTGGAGCAGACTGGCTGCACCCAGCAGGCTCCAGTTCACCTTTCCAGGGAAATGCAAGGACACAGAGCTGCAGGCAGCATCCCCAGCCCAGCTGCATCTTTGGAATTGGCTGCCACTGATCCCATCCGAGGAACGTGGTGGGGAGAGCAGTGCAGGAAAACCCAATAACCACTCTGTGTGCTCCCTGCAGAGCCAACCAGGATCACCCTGGCACCTTCCAACATGGATGTCACCGTGGGGGAGAGCGTGGTGCTGCCCTGCCAGGTGCAGCACGATCCCCTGCTGGACATCAGCTTCACCTGGTACTTCAATGGCACCCTCACAGACTTCCAGAGGGATGCCTCTCACTTCGAGAAGGTTGGAGGGGTGAGCTGCAAACT